ATTCACTACTATTTTCTTTTGTTTTTCCTACTCCACTAAGCTTATCACTTGAGCTGCTTTTATGAAATAGCTAAAGATATTTGTGATTGGCTAATAATGAACATGTTTTCACTTCTTCCGAATAGAGGAAAGACACTGGCACTTCCTTATGTGAGCTAAAATTTGATGTGGGAAACAGGGAAGTATACCAGAAATTAGAATGTAAATGAGAGGGATGTATGCACTTAACTAATCTGTACCCCCATAATATGCCAAAATAAAAAAAAAAAATAAAAAAAAAAAACCTTAGACTCTTGCTTTTAAATAGATTTAACAAAGTCTATCAAGAAGTCAAAGCCCAAGAATAAGGACAATTTTTACTTGGGTACTCCTGGAAACAATAGTATAAAATGCTGTGCCTGCCCCTTTGTTAGAGAGACATGGGCTAAAAAAATAAATAAATCAATGCAGGGGGAGTGCGCAGGTGGGTGGAGGGGAAGGAGCAGAGTCTGTATCACTAAATGAATCCAGGTGCATGAATACCAGTAACTGTTCAACCAAAATAAAATCCAAAAAAATGCATTAGTTTTGGATTTCTATCAGTTAGACTTCATGTGAAACTGTTAAACTGAATGAACTAATTGACAAATAAGTGTAGGACAGGCAGGGGAGATTCAGATGAGCTTTCATTCAGTTTTCTCTTCTGTCCTATCCAGTTTCTCACAGGGCACTTGACCCCCTCCATTCTCCCATAGGTTCTGCCAGGCCGAGGCTCTCACAGCCCATGAAGCCACAGCCCTCACGGTCCAGCTCAGTGGTCTGACGCATGTGCCTTGAGGTTCCCTGCAACGTGCTCTATGGCACCTGCTCACCAGACAATCAACACTGGTGGGCAGCTGGGCCACCCAGCAGAGACGTTTGTGTTCGGGGCTGTACCACTGTGGGAGGAAGTTGTATAGCTTGCATGCAGTAATAAACCCCGACATCCTCAGCCTCCACCTTGCTGATCTTCAGTGTAAAGTCTGTGCCTGACCCGCTGCCACTGAACCTGTCTGGGACCCCAGAGGCCCGGGTGAAACCCAAGTAGATCAGGAGCTGTGGAGACTGGCCTGGCTTCTGCAGGAACCATTGCAAATAGGTCTTTCCATTGCTGTGCAGGAGGCTCTGGCTAGACCTGCAGGAGATGGAGGCCGGCTCTCCAGGGGTGACCGGCAGGGACACTGGAGTCTGGGTCATCACAATCTCCCCACTGGATCCTGAAATAATGAGAGAGAAGGGAAAGTTTATGTACACACATTAGGAGACACTTTGACAATTTTCTTTTTTTATTTCAGGCTAAGTTATACTTCATATGTGTGATTTTGATTTATTTTCCCCAAACATTCAATTTCAAAGAGAACAGAGGTTTTCAAGTCTGTAGAGAACCTATAGAAGTCCCCTGCACAATCCCCTCTTTCTGTTTCAGAGTCTTCACCAAAGCACAGGTCCCTGCTCCTTCGGGAACCTTCCTCACTCTCTCAGATCTAAGCCTGACTTGACCCATCCTGGAGGACAAGATGTGCACATCTAACACATGCACAGAGCAACGTGGCAGGCAGTGGGGCCCCACAGCTAACTCTCCCACCCCGTCCTCCTTCCTCATCTCCTTCTGTCCTTACCAGGGACCCAGAGCACCAGCAGCCCCAGGAGCTGAGCAGGGAGCCTCATTTTGAGAAGTTGGACTGAGGAGTCCTGGTCAGTCCAGGCAAGGTTGGATTTGAGCTTTTATCTCAGACTTAAGGGGCAGGTCCTCCCCAGGGGACAGTATGCAAATGCCCTGGTGGGTGCAGCAGTGTGGAGCAAAGGAACAGAAAATGTTCTCTGTGGTTGGAGGGAAACTAACACAGGAAAAAATCTATTTAGCTCCAGTAGGAGAAAGGACATATTATAATATTTCCTTCCTTTTCCTCCACTTTTTATAATAGTTCTTCAGCATTTTCCCAGGCACATTATACTTTTCTTTTATGAGGTTATTTTCCATAAATATTTGATGAATTATTTTTTTTACCTGCTTGCATAATAGAGACTAGGTTTGGTCTTTTCTATTTTTTTTTTTTTTTTTTTTTTTGAGACAGAGTCTCACTGTGTTGCCTGAGCTAGAGTGAATGCAGTGGCGTCAGCCTAGCTCACAGCAACCTCAAACTCCTGGGCTCAAGCAATTCTGCTGCTTCAGCCTCCCAAGTAGCTGGGACTACAGGCATGCACCACCATGCCCAGCTAATTTTTTCTATCTATTTTTAGTTGGCCAATTCACTTCTTTCTATTTTTTTAGTAAAGACGGAGTCTTACTCAGGCTGATTTCGAACTCATGACCTTGAGCAATCTGCCTGCCTAGGCGTCCCACAGTGCTAGGATTACAGTTTGAGCCACCAAGCCCAGTATTTTGTATTTTTTAATTGAGAAAAAACACATAAAGTGTAGAAATATTAAATGTACAATTGACAATGTTCCATGCATATATACTACCCAAACGAAGCCATAGAACATTTCACAATCCCCAGATACTTCCATCCTGCCCTTTCCCTGTCAGTCACTGTTCCCCTGCGCCAACCAAGGTGACTGTCCTTCTTTTTTTTTTTTTTTTTTTTTACTAGGGTCTGGGTGTGCAAATATTGTGGACATAAAAGAGTGTGTATATATACATGGCATAAGTGGTTGTGAACATGGTGTGTGTGCATATGTGTGTATATTCAGGAGTGTGTATATACATGGTATGTTTAAATGTGGGTGTTTATAGACTTGAGTGTACATAGGTGATGGTGAGTACAAGTATATGTACTCAGTATTCCCTGGGGATCCAGTTTCTAGAGCTGTTCACCTTTTGCATGCCCTGCCTATCTCCCCTTTGGAGGGAAATTGCTCTGGGCAGCAAAGACTCAATCACGTGACCTGTCTACCCTGTTGGCTATAGCCGATTGAACTTGAGATGGACACTCAGCTCCATGGTAGCTTATCCATTCATTGGCCA